CCCCCCTCATGTTTAGAGTTGCAGATCATTTATTAGTGTTATGTTAAACAGAGAATCAAATTGGGGTGGCCTTATTTATATGTCGCCGCAGAATTCGCAAATCTAACGGCAATCGCAGCAGAGTTTGTCGGTTAAGGCAGCAGCCCCCTGGACACTCTACTGCGCGCCATCAATCTGCACTTTCCCTGGGACTCCTAGCATTGAAATAAATTCTACAAATTTGATTACGTAAAATTACCAGTACAGCAGTACTGCAGTACTGGTAGATCACTAAAATGTTAAATATGTTAAATGAAAATCACCTACCGGGTCCAGGTCCCTGCTTAGATTCACATGATATTAAGATTTTAGAGTTTATTGCACTAAGGAAAAAAAAAATTTTTTATCCTGGCTCGGGTATTTTTAATTGCTTCTGTAGCCGACTTCAATTTTTAAACTATTATGAGTGATAAATTAACGAGAATCGCAATTGTCAGCTCGGATAAATGCAAGCCTAAAAAATGTAGGCAAGAATGTAAAAAATCATGTCCAGTTGTAAGAATGGGTGAGTATTTTAACGCGATTATCTTGTTCAATTTCGATTTGAATATTCTAAAAATTTTTTATACTTATTTTAGGCAAACTTTGTATTGAGGTCACTCCTGATAGCAAGATCGCTTTCATATCTGAAGAATTATGTATTGGTTGCGGCATATGCATTAAAAAATGTCCATTCGGTGCAATTATGATTATTAATCTTCCCACAAACCTTGAAAAAGAGGTCACTCACCGATATTCAGCCAATTCTTTTAAACTTCACCGTCTGCCAGTTCCTAGACCGGGTCAGGTTCTTGGTTTGGTTGGTACCAACGGTATTGGTAAAAGTTCTGCACTAAAAATTTTGGCTGGAAAACTGAAACCGAATTTAGGAAGATTTGAAGTAATTATGATTCTTTTTCTGATAAAAACTTTTATATAGGTCTTGTTAACAATCATATAAATTAAATCAATTTAATCGATCGATCTTAAAGGATCCTCCAGATTGGCAAGATATTTTGAAATATTTTCGTGGTTCAGAACTACAAAATTATTTTACTAAAATTTTAGAAGATAATTTAAAGGTATGAATCATAAATTTATTTTTAAGCTCTCGTTATCTCTCGTTATCTCTCGTTATTATTTAAATTATCAAACTACATCTATTTTTTTTTTGATAATCCAGGCCATTATCAAACCCCAATACGTTGATCACATCCCGAAAGCTGTCAAAGGAACGGTTACAGATTTGATTGATGCCAAATTAGAACGAAATAACAAGGATGAAATGATTAATGAATTGGATTTACGTGATGTTTTGGATCGTCAAGTAAATGATTTATCCGGTGGAGAACTTCAACGCTTTGCTATTGCTGTAGTGTGCATTCAGAATGCTGACATGTTAGTTGTTCATTATTTTTATGAAATCTTTACATTTATAACTTATTTTTGAGGTTAATAGATAATACTATTATTATAATTTTTGGTAACAGATATATGTTTGACGAGCCATCCTCTTATCTAGATGTTAAGCAACGTTTAAATGCTGCTAGGACAATAAGATCTTTATTACAGCCTGATCGGTTGGTAGTGTTTTGTTTATATTAATCTTAGTTTTTAGAGTTTTATACTTTATTAACTTTTTATTATTCATAAGTTATGTCATAGTTGTTGAGCACGATTTATCAGTTCTAGATTATTTGTCGGATTTCATCTGTGTACTTTATGGAATGCCATCAGTATATGGTGTTGTAACGATGCCTTTCTCTGTTCGTGAAGGTATTAATATTTTCTTGGACGGAAAGGTTCCAACTGAAAATTTGAGATTTCGTGAAGAATCTCTTACATTCAGGCTAGCTGAAACTGCTGAAGATGAGAAAGAAGTGGAAAAGCACAGAAGATATAAATATCCTGATATGGTCAAAACTTTAGGTAATAATAATTTTTTATAAAATTGTTTTTCATAATTATTTAGTTATTTAACTTTTAATTTTTTAATTAAAAGGAAATTTCGAGTTAACTATTAAAGCTGGTGAATTTACGGATTCTGAAATTATTGTGATGCTTGGAGAAAATGGAACCGGAAAAACCACTTTCATTAAATTGCTAGCTGGTGGTATGAAAGCTGATGGAGAAGAACAAGTTCCAGAATTAAATGTTAGCTATAAACCACAAAAGATATCACCAAAGTTCCCAGGCACAGTTCGTATGCTCTTTATAAAGAAAATCAAATCAATGTTTATGCATCCACAATTTCAAACGGATGTTGTAAAGCCCATGCAAATTGAGAACATCATTGATCAAGATGTTGCAAATTTATCTGGGGGTGAACTTCAACGAGTAGCTATCGTGCTTGCATTAGGCCATCCAGCAGACATTTACTTGATTGATGAGCCATCTGCCTATTTGGATTCCGAACAACGTATTGTTGCTGCAAAAGTTATTAAAAGGTTTGAATATAATTCACGAATTTCGCATATATAACAATCGGAATGCTCCTAATAATGTTTATTATTTTTGTTAGATTCATACTTCATAATAAGAAGACTGCATTCGTAGTAGAACATGATTTTATCATGGCTACATACTTGGCAGATCGTGTGGTTGTTTATGAAGGAAGGCCATCTATAAAAGCTTTGGCTAATTCGTAAGTATTAGTAAAAAAAAAAAAAATTTAAATCTCATATAGCAACATGATTGTTAATTTAATGACCATTATCAATTTATAGGCCGCAGTCTTTGTTATCGGGTATGAATAAATTCCTTTCATCACTTCATATCACATTCAGACGTGATCCTTCAAACTTTAGGCCTAGAATAAATAAAGCAGATTCCCTTAAAGATAAAGAGCAAAAAGCGAGTGAGTAAAAAATTATTTATTTATTTATTTATTTTTTTTTTTTTTGTTTATTTAATTGAAATAATAATTTATTCTGTTTAATTCGCAGGTGGCAATTACTTCTTTTTGGAAACAGAAGCTTAAAAATAGGACTTTTAGAGTGGTTATAATATTGTGTTTGTGGGTTGAAATAGGATTGTGCTTAGTTTAGTAAATTTCAAAATTATAAAATAATTCAATTTATTATATTATGTATAATATTAACAATCAACTTGAGTGATTTTTTATATTATTAAAAGTCAAAAAACAATCTTTATCACGTTTGATAAATTTATTGTTAAACCTATATAATTAAAAATGTAAATACTTTGTCCTAAACCTACGAAATAATAAAATCTACCTCTTACCTTCATTAATAAAATTCTAGCATTATTAAGCAATATTTTTTTTTATTTTTTATTTTGTTTAAGAAGCATGGCAATTATATTAAAATCCACTCAAATGAATATTTGATGTAGAACAGTTTCATGCTACGTTTATTGGACATAGTGTAATATGAAGCAATTTTTTTATCTTTAAAATCTAACTTTAATTTTACCAGTTCTTTGGTTTTAATGATTGGAGCTTGGAACCGATTTTGTTTTTCATATGTTAAACCCGATTTTAATCGGGTTTAACGTATGAAAATGAACCCGGTTCCGAACTCTAAACTACACTTTTTTTTTATCATTTATCAACCGAAATTGTTTCCTCCATCATTTTTAAAAAATAATAATTTGTTTTCAGAACTAGAACGATATTCCGAAATTACTAGCAAATTAAATGCTCTATCATAGAGGTTTTCCATTATTCTTATCGAAGAAACCGAATATATGATTGCACATTGTTCCGATTATATCATTCGAAATCTTCAACTTTAATATAACAGATAAGTATATTAGTTGTGCCATAGATCTGAAATTTTTTAATCGACCGAATAAATCGATATTTTCCATCTGTTAAAGGAACCAACCCATCCTGACGACCTGCTTCATGAATATCGATTAATAATTATATATATATTCTTATACTAGCGATGTAGCAAAACCACAAGTTTATTTATCTTGTTCACAATTTCCGTGTGATAACTTCGCAATAATTTTTAGTTAGTAAAAATAAAGATCAGTGTATTTAGACTAAACTATTCAAGGTTCATGCATTGATACCTTTGTTCTATGCCTTTTACTAATTTCATTTTAATTTATATAGTTAATGTAGCTACGTATTAAATTTAGATTATAAAGTACTGGACAGCAAAAACATCAAAAAGTGATATACAACAAATAATCTTATCATTAATGTTACAATTTTGTTAAAATAAATTTTGGTTTATAACTAAAAGCTTAAATTTTATATGTGTTCAGAAATTTCTTTAATTGAACTTTCACCAAGCATCGACCATATATTGTAAAATAGTAATTCAAGTAGGTTAAATTTTTATAACTCGAATAAACCGCTGAGCGGCTTTAGCTTAGCTAATGATTGGTGATTAAAATCTATATCGATATAGTGTAAAATTTTCTCATTTATTCAGAGTTTTTTAATATTGAAATTTTATTTAGGAATTACAAATAGCTGGCATACTAAATTGTCAATTTAGAAAATTATACATCAAAAGAATAAAATAATTGATAAGAATTATTTAAAGCTACAAAGGTACCTTTTGATACATAATTTTATAATCAAATTTAGCATTATTGTGATCAGCTGGTTGATAAAACTATCGGCCAGCTAAGCACCTTGCGGCCAGCTAAATCAGCTTAAAATAGGTTTGTTGATCTAAGTTCGGAAGCTTAAATAGAGATAATTTTTGAATCATACAAATCAATGGATTTCGAAACTGTCCTATCACCACAAATATGGTTATTCTTAAAATGTCTGGTTGAACTTTATAAATTAGTTGCCTAGTTTTTTAGACATTTTGAAAATGATATTTTAGGTATGAACTTTTGTGACGATTTCGAATTTTACTGTATATAATTAGATATCGAATTTCGATTGGTTGCAATAGTATCATGTGATGAATGATCGATAAAGCTTTTGCACGGAATTTTTTTACATGCTAGCAGCAATATGATAACGATAATTTAAATTTATATTGACATATAAAACTTTAAACTTCTTAAAAATATATAAGATTTAATCTTAATAAATAAAATTAAAAAGAATGTATCTATATATATATATATTTGAATAAGCATTTAAAAGAATATTAAAATCAAATCAATTATAAATAATGATAGTAATAAATTTATACCTTTAAAGTAATTAATCTAAATACAAACACAAAATAAGTAAGAGAAATGATTTGCGTACATCAGTTTCGTGTAACATCGCGTACATCAAATTTTTCGATTGGTCAATATTTAAGTCGAATTTCAAGTGACTAATAAATGCTACGATTTTACTGGCAAAAAAAAATTTGATGTACGTGATGTTTCACGAAACTGATGTATTTCTCAATAAGTTTATCTAATTATAAATACTATAAGCTTAATATAATACAGTACTTACCAAGAGGAACTTCAACAGAATCGATAGGTTTACTTTGTAATGTTGCTATTATAGCATAATTAGTTTTAAATAAATAAACAAAAAGTATAATTCTTTGAACTAAATACCTTTAATTGCACTTGATATTCTTTGAGTATTTATTATTTTGCTAGTGTACATAAAATCTGAATGTTTTGGTGAGTTAATTGGCAATTCTTGGATTATTTTATCAGCATCTAGGAATCGTTTTTTTAAGCGCAGATGATTTATATAAACGAATATAAATGCAAGAGTCGGAAATAAATTATTGAAATATTATCTTGTTATGCCACCTTTTATAGATTAGGCATGAAAAATTCTGTGCCAAGTTTTTATCAATCACATTGCTAAACATCAAAAAAGTAAAAAGTCGAGTCATACTTAAGAATATCATTGTTCAAGAGTTTAAAAAAAACTTAGGAAACTAGATTATAAAGTACAACCGAAGATATTTTAATATTAAGATAACCGACATTTGTGGTTTTAGTGACAGTTGCACTTAAAACCTTTTCTGGTTTTATAAAAAGAAATAAAGGTAAAAGAAATAAATTAAATCATCATTTATTGTGCAATTTATTGAAAATGCATTTGGAACTAATTAATTTATTGACAATACGGAGTAGTCAAGAAGTACGAATCAATTCAAATACAAAAACAGGCAAATACGTAAAAGTGGCATCATCAGAAATTGTAAAGTTACTGAGTGCACATTTTTATGGCCAGCATAGAGATCTATCTGGCAATCTGGATAATCCGTTACTAATTATTCAGATAAAATTTTGGTTTCAGATAATTAAACCGAATTATCCGAGAGACCCAGCGTGTAGGGGGGAGTTGTCCTTACACGTGATAATCAATGCATTTCTTATTGTTTATTAAATTTGCGACAAGCTTTAAGATTTTTATGAAAGAATTACCACTATCAGTAAAATTTCGCAATGAAAAATTTTTGTTAGAACGTAAAAGTCGGTTTGTTATGTGTTGTGAACGTTCCCAATTGTATCACATTATAGTGATCATAATTAAGTCATTGGTCAATTATCACATGTGCAGATAAGTTCTGATACTGTTAAAACCCACTTATGATTAGTAATCATTATTACTAATCACAAGCGGGTTTTAAATTTCAGGATTTGGACTTTCGGGGTTTGTCATTCAATTCAATTTTAATAGATTTTTTAGTAACTGAAACATTATAGCTTAAACTAAGACAATCAATCCATTTAGTCCAATGAAATTATTGAGAACAATGCCAGAATTAAATGCCAAGTCCATCATAAACCTAACTATTCAACTCGTTCAACAAATTCCTGACGAGTTATATGATCAACTTGTTAAACATCCATTTGATTCATCAGTTGCAGCCAGCTAGAGTTGCGATCAAATCTTTTTTTTTTTTTTTTTTTTTGAAATTATGACATTAATACTTAGTTTGGGTTTGAGATTCGGGATTTCTAATTAATTTTGGATAATAACAAAAACCCAAATTATATGACCCATTTTGATCAATGGTGTCAAACTCAAATCATTAAGTTATTAATACTTTGTTATTCATTTTCAAAAAATCAAGAACCTAAGGGTGATTAGGTGATTAGCGATAGACAGGATAAAGTGATATGTTAGATTTAATAGTTATGTCGAATATGTACATTAAGTGAAAAACAATTATAAAAGTGAAAGCTTTTCACACCCAAAATAATCGTAAATAATAAACTTTTCATTTAAGTTTTTCTTTAAGTTACCCATTGTTATAAACAGCCTATTCGAGGAAATTGTATTGGATTTATGAAAACCAATCTCTACCTAACCTGGTTATCTGACTCACTCACGGGTGACATTCAGGTAACATAGTAGTGGTAGAAAAAATTCGCGATCATATGATAGTGACCCAATAAACTTACTTTAATAATAATGTACTGTCTAAAATATCACAAATTTTTTGTAGATTATTAGTGCTCCTAAAGGGTTGATTTAGTATGGTAAAATT